CTAACCGTAGTTGATTTTTATCTACTGGTAAATTATAATCACGGATTATCTTTTTCTTGATAACTTTTAATAGTTTATCTAGCTGAGCTTGTTTAGGAAAATGTGTGCGAATAACATTATCCGCATTATGAACTACAGGTGTAGGTGGGATACATAGTTCAATTGGTATCTCGATTTCTTCAGGTGATTCAGGTTGAAAAGCATTATCCACAATCCTTGGGTCTTGTGTGGTAGATGATGCTTTAATAGAACTATCATTTGATATCCTGATATGAGATCGTTTGGGAGATTGGAAAATTGTCGGGATTTTCTGAACATCAGAAGGCTGATTATTAACTGTATCAACCGAATTATGTGATACTGTCTGATGTTGGGCAGAAGGGAAAACTGCAGGTACAGAAATGTTATGTGTCTTGGCCCATTGACGAGTTACAGGTCTATCAGTTACTGGATTCAGAATAGCGAATGCTGTAGGGACAATACTGTCTATCTCCGAATCACTTTCGAGTGGGCTTCGGGAGAGAAAATCAGCTAGGACTAATTCTGTGCCCTTTTTGTAACCAATCTTAAAGGCATAATGACTAAGTTTGACTAACAGTTTCTGTAATCTGTTGGTACAAGGTGGACGTTTAGAGTTACAAAGGTGGACAATGGCAGCGTGATCAACATAAGCATCAAATTCAACTCCTCTAAGTAGATATTGGAAATTAGAGATATTGATCAGAAGACCAAATAATTCTAATTCTGTGACTGAATAGCGCTCGCATGCCTTAGGAAGTCGTTTTGAATAATATCCAAGAATTCTCTCTTCACCATCAATAATTTGGGTAAGATATGATCCTGTAGCTGTTCTTGAGGTGTCACTATAAAGGGTAATCCTACCACTATCATTAGGCATGTACAGAATAGGTGGTTGTACAAGTAGAGACTTAACCTTAACAAATGCTTCTTCATGTGCTGCAGACCATTTAAATGATGATTTCTTGCTGGAAATTTTATGCAAGGGTTGTAGAACTGACTGTAAGTATGGGAGAAAATTGGAAACATAGTTAACAGCACCTATGAATTTTCTTACATCTTTACTTGACGTAGGTCTTGGGATATTTTGGATTGAGCGGCATCTATCAGACAAAGGCTGCAGTGTGACTAAACCTTGTTTATCAATCGCAATCTTATGACCCATATAGACCACTTCATGACAGAAAAATGAACATTTTCTTGGTGTAACTTTGAGTCCATTTTGAATTAAGGCACTGAAAATTAACTGTAAATGCTTCTTGTGAGCTTCGTTGTCTTTACTGAATAAGATAATATCGTCATGATGGGCTATACAAAATGAATAACTACCAGGAACTGTTGATAATATTTCATCAATTTTAGATTGAAAAACTGCTGGTGAGACACTCAAGCCTTGTGTTAACCGTTTAAAGTAAAAGTGTTTGCCTCCAGAATATGATGAAATACCCGTATATTGTTGGGCTCTAGGTGATAATGGAAGTGAAAAGAATGCTGACTTCAGATCTAAGCAACTTATAACATTAGGTTTAGCATGACCAATCCTCTTTAAGGTGTCAGATAATAGGGGAAATGGATGGTTAAGACGTTTGATTTTAGAATTAAGATACCTGAAATCAACAACAACACGTTTTTCTTTAGTACCTTTCTTAGGTAGAATGAGAACTGGTGATGTATACGACTGGTGACCAACAGCTAAAATTCCTAGTTTGACAAGCTTTTCTAATTCCTGATCCACAATCTTTTTCTCAACTTCTGTTTTTGGATAAGGGCGAATGTAGAAAGGGCGATTGTCGTTTACTTCTATATCAACTTGTATGTCAGGGCATTTTCCAATTTCACCATGAAGACTGAAAGCTTCCCGATTTTGACACAACATATCATAGAATTTGTCTTTTTGAGAAAGATCAAGCACACTTTTGGACAAATCAATTTGTGACTTGAAAACAGACTTAATATTACTTGATGATGTAACATTATTTTGATCATACTCAGAAGTGAAGTTAATATTATCATAACTTACAATATCTTGAAGGGATATAAATGAAATTGGTCGAGTAGGTCTGATATGCAAAGTTTTAGCACTTGTGTTATGAATTGGTATAATGGCTTTATTTCTTTCCAGCTTAACCAAAATTGTTGAAGGACACATATCAGAAATATGACTGCCACAATACATGACAACTTCACGATTCCTAAACAAAGGAGGAACTTTACCATGAACAGTGATGTAACGACAATGTTTAGGTCTGACATATACACTATGAGCGGTTATAAATGGAATGGTTGTAGCTTTACAATGAAATACATTGTCACGAAAACTAAGACTTCCATTCAAATCAGCTAAAGTTTCTTGACCAATGATGATATCAATTCCGATTAAATCGGCAGCAATAAAAGCTTGAATGGTAAACTTTACATTTTGAATAAGCACATCAAACTTAATAGAATATTTACACAATAGTAGATTGCCATTACCAAGTCTAAAGCTAAGCGGATTTGACAACAAATGAACAGGCAAACCACTTAAATAGGGTGAAGATTGAATAAGTAAAGACGAAATGATCGACCTTGATGCACCACTATCAATTAATAATAAAGCTGAATGACCATCTAAAAATTCTCCTTTGCAATAATTTCGTTTTGAAAGTTGAATAGAAACAGAACTAGAATGATTCTGTTTACCTGAAGTAGAATGAATAGGTTTGGTTTGATTAGATTTAGGGAATTCATTCTGAGCAGTAGAATAAATTCCCTCTATTGAAAATCCTGTTGTTGTCTTTTAGCAGAAAGGTGTTTCTGACGCAGAAAACATGATCTCCATGTATGATTTGGTTTCAAGCAGTAGTCACAAAATATAGGTCTATCAGCTGACTGGCTAGAATTATTGACATATTTATAATGCTTATTTGTGTACGAGGAATATCGATGTTGACTAGGTGAACGAGAATAATCACGTCTTGATCTATACTGACTAGGTGAACGAGAATAATCATGTCTTGATCGAACTCCAGGGTTGTTTGTATGCGATTTGGGACTAGGTGAATAAGGGCGTCGTCTGGGTGATAGTGATTGCTCACGAGCATAAGACGAATGACTATAATTTGGATGTTTGGATCGGTGTCTGACATGATCATCTGATGCTACATGCAACTTAAGTTCATCTAATTCTTTTCGTAATGAAGAAAGATCATCTGTGTCAGATGTATAGAAGGATACCTCCTTACTAGGATTTACGGTTCCAGAAGTTTTGTCAGGGTTATTAATATCAAAGAAACACTGAACTTTTGTTGTGATGTCATTCAAAGTAGTTGTGTCATTTGTTGACATGGCAACGACTTGTTGACAGTTTGTAGGGAGGATTGAAACAAATTTATGTTTGAGTTGGGTGCGACCTACTCCAAGTTGAGTAGCTAATTTCTCCAAGCCTTCTACATTTTCCGCAGGAGTGATAGAAGCGTTGTAAGTGAATGAGGAATAGGCTTGGTGTAAACCAAATAAAGACTTATTTTCGGAGAATCTATTAATAAACTGCGTGCGTAAATCTTCACGACTTCGAAATATTTTCTCCTCTATCCACAATCTCGCGGTTCCTTTTAAAGACTGTTTGAAAAGATTTATCATCTTATTGATAGCAAGAACTGTCTGAGGATTCATCTCCTCATCAGAGTACTCAAGGTAATCTTCGAAAGATAAAAAATGGGCAGTGGCCAGATCCCTATTTAATACGGACCCATCAAATCTATCAAATGACAGAGGTCTCTTGCGTTCAACAACCTCGTTCCGACGGTTAGCCATAATTGTAATTGTATACAAAATAATCAAAATAGTTAAAAGATGTTTACAATTTTGTCCAAACATTGAATATGATTGACCTTGATTAATTCGTTCACTATATGAGCAACTATTATCAAAATAATTGTGTAAGGCAAATCAGGATGACTACAAGTTTAACCAATAAAGAAAGAAATAATGCATCTTGTAAACATGGAAAACATCAATTAGCAAAACAAATTATCTAAATATTTAAGATCATGAAACAATAATAACATATTCACACAACCATTCAGCATAATTCACACAAATATAGTATCAGAAAACGTTTATATTATAAATTGACTGGAATATTGCCAAATTAATTTGAAAGTTGTAAATTTGAATTTACTTATAAGCCAAAATTAAAATTTCTAAAGCCTTCTTTCACAATTCTGTTTTAAGAAAAAAAATATTGTCTCTTTTACAAATTTTACTAGGGATAAAAGTCATTGATTTATACATCAGGCTTCAGTAAAGGTTCACAAGACAGCAAACTTGAGTTGAAATAATGTCACTTGTAGGCTACACAACACAGTCACAAGACAGCAAACTTGATTCCAAGATTGTCACTGTACAACACTGTAGTCTATACTTCATTAATTATGTCACTATAAATGAATTAGATCTAGGCTAGTAGTAGTTAAGAGTTCTAGGCATCCACACTTTAACATGGGAAAATTGGCACTCATGTCAAAACAGATTTTCCATTAGGCCTTTATAACACAGTGTAGGCCTACATGTTTATGGATTTATTCATTTGGATTATTTGAAATGTCTCTGGATCTGTACATAAGCAATTTAGGCTAGATTTTAATTTCACACAAATTAATAATAGAGTTTATAATTAGGCCTCACTATAGTATTTCAAGTCTGGTGAATTTGTAGTCCTCAGAAAATAAAGGTTCCCAAATATCTGCTGAACGACTAATTTCACACAAATGGAGTTTAATCAGGCCTCACTAGGTCTACTTCTGATGAAAGTTTACTCCTCAGAATAAAGTAGATTCCCAAAATCTGTTGAATAATGGGAGAATGTGCTCCACAATTATGAGTCCAAATCTCAAAACATGTGCTCCTCACATCACAAGTCAATTCTTAGTAACAATTCAAAAATATCACTTGAAAACTAGTTCTTCATATTCTACATACTAGAAATGGGAGTTTGGCATCTCCACCATGTGGTATTGGGGTGTATAGGCCACAAGATGGCCTGGATTGTTTATGACAATCAGAAGAGCTAATTAAAAACAGCCATCTTCCATTTCACTCCATCCCAGAATTCCATCTAGGATCAAAGCCTTTTATTAATCAAGGGAAGTAACTCTATTAACACAAAGAACTCAAGAAGGCTTCAGACCACTATTCCTTAATAATATGAATAAGTTGGTTTAGTAAAGGGAGTATATGACAATAGCTAGGGAACATGTTTTTATTTGATATTTTACCAGTCTTGTAAAACGTGCAGACATCTTGATGTATATTTTTTTAAGCATAGTAAGTATATAAGGTTGCATACCAACAGTTAAGAACTATAAGAATAATAGTTTTTAGACCAAATGTTTAAAATAAAAATTATGTTTATTGTGTATGGTTTTAAACTGACTTGTTAACCTTTATTCTCACATTTGGGCTTTAAAAGGACCAGAAAAGAAATAGCTTCTCGACATTCTTCAGATAAAGATGTTTTAAATATATCTTTAGAAAACTGTGTACATAGGTAGGTCTATAGTATTTGGTTTTCATCAAGAAGGGTGTCTTGGCTGCAGGTCTGACAAATGTTTCTATTACATTCATTTTTTTAAAAAACAGAAAGGAATTGGGTTTACCATGGAAATTTGGAGACCAATGTCTACCAGGGAGCTATCCCCTAGGGTGTAGTGTTACTACCTATTCCACTTCAAATTCCTTGGTTTCCACACAGAGAATTTGAAAACAAAAAAATTAACACATAATATATAAGATGTCTGCCAATAGAAATGGTAGTTGCTGTTTCTTATTTTAAGTCTAGAAAACAAAAAGTGTGCCACTGAGAAAAAAAAATTCTGGTTTAATTTAATGAGTCATTTATTTAAGACTACATCAGTAGAATTACTGCATGGATCTGTTGTAGTGATTTGTTGAAGCTGGTTTCTGTTTCCAACAGACAATTTGATGACTTTAATATGGCTGCATGTGCTTTCCGGGTTGTCTTTGAAACCATCTACACAACATGATGTCTGCTTCTTATATAGTTAATTTACCTGTTGGAAGAAAATAACACACATATTATTATGGTACAAAATAGCCCAGAAGGAATAATCAGTTTTCAAGATACAAAATTAAAATAGTGGAAGCTCAAAGTAGTGCTTCGTGCTTATTTATATTAAATGTACATTGTACAACCTTTTTTTCATTTTTTTTTTTAAAGAGGAAGCAATAGTAAACGGATGACACTAGCCAGGGTCTTTGCATGTCTATTTGATTTTTTTTAGAAGGCATTACATAGATTGAGGGGATTAGTTCCAGACATGATTTCCTAACTCATATCTAGAAGTACTTATAAGACTCTCCCAACTTCCATCTATCATTTTGGAAATGCTGGATATGATTTCAAAATTATTGGGAACACTTTCTCTTCTTTGCAATACCTATTTATACCATACTGTACTTGATCCAAAATCCCTGCTTCTAGAATTTATTTTTAGTTTTGAATGTTATACCATAATGATGTCTGGCTGAATTGTGGGTCCGACTTTAAAGTCAACATCTTATAGCATATACATGTATAAAATCACTGTTAACAGTCTGCTTCAATCACAGACAAATTATCTTACAGAAAGTGCAGAATCTCTTGTGCTGACTTGATCCGATACATTTCAGCCAGTCTTTCAAAGAAGCCATTGATTGGCTCGCTTCACTTGATTGGTGATTGACATGCCAGGAAACAGAAGTGTAATAAAAATGGAAATTTGGGAGATAAACTCCTCATCAGATCACCTGGCTGACCCTCTCCTTGTAAAATACATCATGTCTGCCTTTAATGCTGTCTGCTTGTTAGAGTAGTAAATCAGTAAAGCTTACTGTACTTAATTCCTGCTATCTACTGTCAGAATGGTACACACTACACACACACCTGAAACCACATGCAGACATCATCAAAGCACAGCAGAAATCTTAATGGTTTCCTGTCAATTACCAAATAATGTTAAAAAGTCATTTCTCATTTTAAACAAAATTAAGAGGAAAAAACAAAACATACAAATTCTTTAAAACTTTTAACACAAGGTATGAGCAACCTAATTCTGCGATGTAGTTCCTTCAATGAAAACTTATATTTCAAATGAAAATGTTCCCTTTTACATGTAGATATGTAAAGTGTAATGCTAGTAATTTCATTCCAAAAGATTATATTTTTGCAGATATTTGTTTAGATGGGGCCTAGTTTTTTTTTGAGAAATTTTGATTGTGGTGTCAATGGTGATTTGTGGCACATACCTAGTTTAAAACTATTTTATTGCACCGACAGTTCATTGTACAATACAAAAGTATTAAACAAAAGTTCTAACAACTTATAAACATGGTCTCATTCCTTACAAAATATTAATTGATGAGAATATTTCAAATATCCGGATGTATATATATAACATTAAATATTATTGTTACATCATCCCAACCAGAAAAAAAGACTCAATTTACACCATTCCAAGGATGAATAAATGAATTTTCTACTATGTTTCTTAATCCCTTTCAATTTTTGAAATATTATGAAAAAAAACCGATGTATTTCCACGAAGGCGCAGTTACAGAGCGTCACTAAAATTAATCCTTCCCATGAAGGCGCAGATTTCGACTTGTCGGCTTTCGTTTGAAGAGAGGCATGTTGCTATTAGGACCCAATTAACGGTGTTAAAGATATTGTGAATTTATGTTCACTCTGAACCAACAACACTCTGGAAGGATGGCATGCAAGAATCAAGAAGCTAGTTGGACAAGCCCACTCTGGAAGGATGGCATGCAAGAATCAAGAAGCTAGTTGGACAAGCCCATCCGATGGTTTTTGAAATGATCACATTCTTACAAGAACAAAATATTAATGAGATTAGAATCGTTCAGTATGGCGGGGGACAGGAACCACCAAGGAAGAGATATAAATATGCTCAAATCCAAAGCCAGCTCCAGGAATTAAAAGGAAGACACGAGGAAGAGGATTTGACATTAGTCGAGTATTTAGACAAGGTGTCTTATTTGGCGAAATTAAATTCATTTTTGTTGCAGTATAGTTATGTTTTTATTTCTTATGCCAAAAATGATGCTAAAATGTTGATTAATTAGTTACATTGGGGATTATGAAAGTGTAAATTCTTATCATAACAATCTATAACACCATTGTTACGATTTTAATCCATTTGAATCCCTAGGAGCTGGATTCCCACGAAGTCATCGAAAACGACCTCGTTTAATCCGTTACGGTCAATAACTACGCCTTCGTGGGAATAAACCAAAAAAACATTTCTGGGGCGCTAGGCCTACTATTATCTATTAGATAAAGAGGTCAAGCTGGTCCTCAATCCCTATTGTTTTAAAATAATTTAAAAAAAACAACCAGTCCTACAATTATCTATTAAATGTAGAGGTCAGACTAGACAACACTTATGAACCTTGTGTTAATGAAATAAACTGTGATAATTGATAGATTATACTAATGAAATCTCTGATTTCACTGTGGTGGCTACAATCAGATGTCTGATGCGAAATAATATGTTTATTTTCATGCTGTGAAGGCAAACACATCTGACTTACAGGTACATTAATAATCCACGTCCAATATATGAGATACGCTATTGATTTACACCCAAATAAAGAACTAATGATCTAAAGCTGATATTAATTAATATCATGTTTCATTCTGTATGACGGGAAAGTACATTGCATATAGCTGTGATGGGTATTCGGTGACATATTTTCAACAGTAATTAGAAACCGGAATCGAAATAAGAATCATGATATAGATTTCACTATACTTTATATATATATATATATATATATATATATATATATATATATATATATATACACAAATTTAATGGTTATGTTCTGAGAAAGTAATGAGAAATTTAAAGATGTAGTATATCCAGTGTCTGTTTTCTAAGACAAGATGCGATTATGAATATTTTATCAGTTGTTTAAATTCATCGCACACCCTTAAAAAGGCACTAATAGAAGCTGATGACTTTAGGGGATCATCTGAAAAAAAAAGGGGGGTTGCGCTAAGTGTTAAAAAAGATTTGTATTATTTCATTAAGAATTAAAGTTTGTTAATATAAAATATTACAAACAGTTACAATTTATTATCCCGCTACAAAACGTAAAAGTAAAAAGATATAAAATGTGGTGTGCCGACCATAGTTAAGGGAAGGCTATAATGGGCTTTGTCCTTCTGTGTTTTCTTTCAGTAGCTTATTTACAACACCTACAACTCACATCAACCTATAATATTAGTTATGTCTTTTGCTAATTAGAAATTTCTTAGATTTTAATAAGTGTGTTCTTTGTGTTTTTACAATTTTGATTCCATATTTAATATCAGCCTATTAGAGTAGTTGTGCCTTTTTGTTAATTAGACATTTCTCGATTTCAATAATTATTTTTTTTGTTTCCATGGAGACATAATTGACTTTTAGTTCTTATTCCAGAACATATCTCAGAAATATATACATACATGTGATGTACCATTATCCTTCACAATATTAATATAAAACTTTGTACAATAGACTAATTTGTGTATAAATTGTAAAAACTATGGATGGATGGATTTAGCCCATATTAATATCCAATCTTCTAAACATGGGATATAACAAATAATACTAACCTAAATTGATCACAAACAAAGATCTATTAATATGATCAGATGAGATAAAATAATTAATAATATACAATGTAATAAGATCAATAGCAGTGATTAATGTTTTTTAAATTTCTTAGTAAAATACAGAATATTACTTTTGGTTCTCAAGGAATATAAATAATGTCTTACACTGCAATTTCTGTCATTAGTCTATTCCCTAAGTTTTTTCTAAAAGAATAAATTGCCTAGTAGAATTTTAAGATTACACACTTCAGCCAGTTTTTTGTGAAAGACATATACAATCTTGGTTTGTGAATTTGAATAGCTGATTATTGAACAGATAGACAGTCGCAAGACACCAATAATTTTCTTTTTTTTTAACAGATCAATGATTTGTATAATCAAACTTGGTTAAAGGTACAACCATCTCTTATAATGTAAACAAAAGAAGGAATTTGTTTATCAGGCATTTGTTATCCCACAAACATCCTCTCAAGAGTTTATATTTAGTTTAATTAGTTCATCTAATGATCAAGTGCAAATGGTGCGATGAAAGCCAAATAATAAGAAGACTGTAAGTTATCTTCAATAATTAATACATATACCGGTACATTTCAAATATTTTATTGTATTTTGTATAGACAAAATATTGTCCTTTGTGATTTGAATGAACCCTTGATATTTTTTAGGCTTCTAAACAAGATTGTAACTTTAAGTTTGAGCATAAAAATAAAACACTACTGTAATGAAGTTGTGTAACTTCAATTGATCATACATTTATTCAAGACTTTAGTGCTTCAATTTATCACATGTTTATTTATCACACATTTATTCAAGACTAGTGCTTCAATTTATAACATGTTTATTTATCACTTGTTTATTAAAGACTTTAGTTCTTCAATTTCTATGTCCTTACACATCGTTGTTGTTTACTGAATTTGTTCCACAATTTTAGTTTTTACTGAAGTCTTTCCACATTTTTGGTATTTTTGTTGGTTACTGAAATCCTTCAACATTTTTCTTGGTTATTCAAGCTCTTTCACAGTTTTGGTGGAGCAGTCTATTTTTCTCACATATTTGAATTACCATGTTTTTTTTACTACCATTTGTCCACATTTGGTAACTTAAAATGGTAATTGAAAATACTACTTCATTTAGAGTGATTGTATTACTGATTTAAAGTACTTTTTCTAATAGTCTTTAATGACTATTATTCCACCATTAAATTGCAGTCTAAGACTGATCAACAAAGTTTATTGGCATAAAACATCTGAATACATCCATTGACAAGAGAATCAGTTCAGAAAGATAGCTGCCATTAATATTCAGTCATTGTCATCCATAGGGGTGTTGTGATCATTTTAATGTGTTGAGAGTAGATCAACATCAGTCAGTGAGTTGATCTATTTTCTATGTTTTGTGAACAGAAATCTTTAATATCAAAACCTTAATCCATATGATGCTGAGTTTGCTGACTCTTCATCAGATTTCTATTGCTGTGCCACCAAGGGACAAATCAGTTCTGTTTGCTATGTACCAATACTAATCCTGCCAGTGGGAATGCAAAATTTTATTCAAACTCATTTTGCTTTGAGCTAAATCAATGTGATAATATGTTGATATTTTGAGAGCTCACTGTTTTTTTTCTCCAATTTGAATTGTCTGTGGTGTATTGATATGAACTGTTATGTTACCTCTGTTTTGTATTGTCTATTAAATCAGTAGTTTAATTAAACATCTAGTTATAACTTAAAGATACATTATTCAAGAGCTAAATCTGCCTACTGAAGGTCTTTCTTTAAGCTTAAATGTTATATAATTATTAATTAGACATTCATTAACATGACAAGACCATAATCAACCTTCGATGCCATCAGATGCTCGAGATTTTAACTAGATTAAAATGGTTCAGCCTTTTAATGATTTAATTTAAAAAATCGAGAAGTGAGAAGACTCAAATATACCAGTACCATATAGTTACAATACACAATCAATGCACACATCTTGTCAAAACTACAAACAGTAAAAACTAAGCTTAGAATAATGTAATTTGAATTTAATTTTCAATATATTCATTTTGCATTATCGATTTTTGAACTATTATATCAAAAACGATCAGCTCTTTACCTAAATCTGACATAATGTATCTTTAAAATTACATGCATTCTAATGTTTTATTCCTTTATTCATTAGTACAACTCAATAACTATACAGCTAACTCTTGTACAGTAGAAAAACAAAGACAAAACCTTTTGCATGCATCAATCATTGTTGTTTTTAATTACGGG